AACAAGTACCATAACAAGTTTTATGAAACTATGTTTTTAAAGCCTCCTTCTGTACATGTTAATGGCATGAGGTCTAAGCCCAGTTCCGTTCAAAAGTAATTTCACAGGATGCTACAATTATTTAACAATGTTCATCTCCACAGATATTAGATTATCACTGCTATATATATATATATATTTTTTTTTTTTTCATATACAAACGCACACATGTACACACCACACTTTAAGGCTGTGGTCGGCAAACTGCAGCTCACCAGCCACATGTGGCTCTTTGGCCCCTTGAGTATGGTGGCTCTTCCACGGTCTGGGTGAGCCTATTTTGAAGAAGTGGCGTTAGAAGAAGTTTAAGTTTAAAAAATTTGGCTCTCAAAAGAAATTCCAATCATTGTACTATTGATATTTGGCTCTGTTGACTAATGAGTTTGCCAACCACTGCTTTAAGGTATTAGATTAAGAACATGGGAGAAAGTTGAGTCAGAAACCAGAATGGTAAAATAAACTTTTTCAAAGTTCTATATATTAATAGAAAATTTAGTGTAATATATATCATCTACTAGATACACTTTAACAGTTGGGCAGACTTCTGCATCCTATTCTCTCATTTTAAACGATTATTCTATAAAGTCCACCTATATATTCATTTTCATGTTACTGATGAAGAAGTGATAGAGTTAAGAAAATGCCTTCCAATGTGACCTTCAAGTCAACAGTCCATCTAGCTTGAACTATAATTCCACTTAGTTCAACAACTGTTCATTGCAAGTCTAGGTGGTAGATGCCTCGGGGGATTCAGCGGGAATTCTGTAGACTGTGACTTTCAGAGCATGCAATGTGGTCTATGAGAATGCATGAAAGAGGTGCAGAAAAGGAAGGGAAAAATACTCCTATAATATCATGCAGAGCTAAACAAGAGCCTTACAGGAGGCACAGAGTTCTCTCTGGGATCTAGAACATCACGTCGTTTTGTGAAGGCTGTAAGGGGAAAGTAGAAGATGGATGGATGGGTGGAGATAGATTAGGGAGGAAGAGCAGAAGGAATGGCAAAGAGATAGCAACACATGATATATGCTCAGAGAACATCAAGAAGCCACATTTGGTTAGACGCAGTGGTTGGCAAACTGCAGCTCTTTGGCCCCTTCAGTGTGGCTCTTCCACAAAATAACCCGGCCTGGGTGAGTCTATTTTGAAGAAGTGGTGTTAGAAGAAGTTTAAGTTTAAAAATTTGGCTCTCAAAAGAAATTTCAATCGTTGTACTGTTGATATTTGGCTCTGTTGACTAATGAGTTTGCTGACCACTGGGTTAGAGTGTTAAAAAAAAAAAAACATACAGAGGAAAGAGAGATGGAAAAGTAGTTTGAGATGACATGGTCTTGAAAGTCACAGTGAAGAAACTGTATTTAAAGGAAATAGCTAAGACTTTCAATCTCAGGATCACAGTTGTTGATCAATTCATTCATCTTTGTAAATATACTAACTCAAATTCTATGCAGATATCCATGAACTAAAACCTTATCTCTGACATAAATGTTCTAGATCACACTGATGTCACAACCTCAGGATTCAACTTGATGTATTCTCTAAAGGACAAAGCCTCTCACATTTTATATTTTAAAAATTTTGTATGCAATCACAAGTAATGGCTGTCATTTGTCTGATTACCTGATCCATGTCTTTTGCAATTGGAGATACTCTCATAACAAACTCCACAAGTCAGTAATGTTTCACACTAAGTTTTGTAATTCCAATGAAAGCAGACAAATAAAATGCCCAATGGAGAAACATAAGTGTAAATAAGGAACATAAATGTAAATAATCTACTAAAAATGAACTACTTGTTACTAGAAAATATTAGAAAGTTTAAAAAGTTAAAATCCCCTTGGGTACTAAACTAGCTTTGTTCCCTCTGCGTAGTAATAAGCTTGCTTGTTGTATGAAGTTACATTTGAGAGTAATACTCAAATAAAAATCTAACTACATATTTTAGGCCATTTTTCCTCACTTAAAATTTAGAAATTTTCAAGATAATAATACATCTCTCTCCTTGGACATTGTTATTAAATTGTTTTTCAAAAATGAATGTATTACAATATAAAGATGATTTGAGATTTATTATTCCAATACTTATTCTAAGTATTGGTGTTAAGATATACTACTTAGTATGAGCAAAGACTGTGTAGATATGCATAAAGTATATTCAATCCTTAAATTAAATTAATTATACAATAATGACCTTTTAATGAGAGGTATTTTAAAGCTATATTCTTGGGAATTCTACAGCAATTTTTTAACAATCTCCAGCAATAAAACAAACGAGGGTATTTGTTTTTTTCCACTGCACTTATTACACCATAAAGGATGTATTCAAAGTGTAGGTCTTTTTACATGTAGGAGGTTGAATGAATTTATTATTAGTTAATTTCAATAAAAACAAAAAATATAACAAGCTCTCATTATAGAAAATCGTCACCCCTTTATAAAAGCTGAAATACCAAAAAAATATTACACATAGGAAAAACAAAACATTGAGGATCATTAATCAGAGATTTGTGGAATGGAAATAGAAGAAAATAGCAGTTTTTCTGCCCTCTGGTGGCAATAAAATCAACTGCAGCATTACTTAAGTAATGCATAATAAAATATCCCTGTTATGAAATCAGATTTTACACCCCAAGGCCAAAATGTCTGTAATAAAAATCCTGATTGCTACATTCCAAATTCCAAGACTGTTGGACTCTTTGTTATTTACTGTGTTGAACGTTTAGCTGGACTATTTTAATAGGAATAGGAAACTATTTTTTTCTTCCATTTCATAGGCTGTATCTGATATATTTGGTAGGCTATTTTATCCCAGGATTATTTCATAAAACTATATGTAAATTAATATCCAGAAAAGAAGCTACTTCCATCTATAATAAGTCTCCAAATAATTTGTCAACAAATTTAAAACTATCCCTTTTTTATTCAATCCTATAAATAAATGGGTTTTCAGAGTAGTTTTCCACCAGGAAATATTGGGCTGGTTTACCACACCTGCACATTTATGTTGAACAATTTAAGTACTTTATATCTCCCAAAGCAAAGGCTTTTAACTACCTGATCAATTTTAGAGTGAAATGAATTTTATCTTCATTTAAGAACCACTGTAAGAATAGTAAATTCATTGTATATATTATTTTCTCAGTATTATACTTTTTAATGAAAATTTCTCAGAACAAAATAAGCACTTGCTTTTCTTTATTTTTTAGTGTAAATGCGTTATTTACCTCCAGGTCCAAATAAGTTTTCAAATAAACAACTTGGGATGCATTTTGGCGCACACACCACCTTGACCTCCTTTGAGGTGAATTAAATTGCTTATATTCTTAAAGGCATTTATTTACTCCATGCAAAAGTCCATGAAAATTACTGTTGGCACCTTTTTAAAATAAATGTATTGCTTCCTGTAGAGGTAAGTCTGCTTGTTTGTTTGTTTGTTTAATCAATGTTATCAGAGAAATAAACGGAAGGTATGATCTACTGATCTAAATAATACCTAGTGAAGAATGACCCATGTCTGAGTATGGAGAAAAACTGCATGTGGTCAAAACAACTCAACTTCCAGGAAATGTGTTTTATTCAGTTTTGAAAGTGTGATCATCATGCTGTCCCCGCCCTCTCTATACACGCACAGACACCCCTCCAATCGGGGATCTGTACTTCTTCTAAGAATTTGCACCTGGGGCAGACAGTGTTTTGTCTGTCTGTCTGTCTCTTAGGTTTCAGCTTATATAACCTCCTTCAAGTACCTCCTTGAAGATGCACTCACCTGGAATCCCCAGGTGCCCTCCCGGCCTTCTTCCATCTGCCACTTTCCCTGCTGACATTTTCGGACACTTTTGTACTTTCTGAGGAATCCCTCCGCTCCCAGAATTAATTAAAACAAATCAAAATCTTATTACGGTAAACTGAAATGTCTCCCCCCCCCCCCCGGTGTTTTGTTTTTGTTTTTGTTTTTCTTTCTTTCTTTTTTATTGCACCTATTCTTGAAGTCCCCCCGAGTTCACAAATGTCTGCTAAGGTCTGTCTCTGCCTGTTTCTTCACATTCCTTCTGAGTGGCCCAAAGGGGGGACCCGCACCAGCGGACAGGGGCAGGGTCCCGGGAGGCGGGCGGACCCCGGGCTCAGCGCCGCGCCCCGGAGGAGCCAGCGGAGGCCGAACGGGGGCTGCACGGCGCGCCCCCCGCCCCGGGGCGCGGCTCCCGGTGGCCGCGCACCGGGCTGGAGCTGCGGCGGGAGCGGGAGGCGCTGCCCGGGAAGTTGCGGGGCCGGGGCCAGGCGCGGGGGCAGAGGCAGGGCACTGGGGAACACCCCCCTCCCCCTGCACGTTCAGGCCGGACTGCAAAGCCAACCAGCCGGCGGAGGACAATGGGGCCAGGGGTGGGTCACAGAGGCGCGCCCGCCCTACATGTGCCACCTCCCCCGCTCCTCGGCGCCCCGCCACACCTCCCCTGCCCCACTTCCAGCACCCGCTAGGGATCGCCTGGGGGAGAAAGGTGCAGCCGCTGGTCATTTTCTCCAGCTGACAGGAGCCTTGCAATCCCGGCTGCCATCAAGTCCTCCACCCTCGGCCCCCTTCAGTGTCTCCGGGCGGCAGGGAGGAGGGGGAGCCGGGGAGGAGGCAGCCCAGGGACGCCAGCTCCCTCCAGGGCAAGGAATCCACAGAAGGAGGCTTGTCTCACCCCCGAGTCCTCTCGGGGCGCCTTGGGGGGAGTCAGTGCCACCCCCTGGCGCTCAGGTGAAGCCAGCCCGAACCCTCCTGAAAGGTCCCCTCCACCCCTCGCTAGCCATGCCTATTCCCCCCATTTGGGAAGCCCAAGTTTGCCCCCAAAGGCAACTGCAGTAACTTTCCGAAGAGCACGGGGAGGTGGTTGAGGATGGAGGAGTCTGGGAGGTCCTCAGCTGCACACACACACACACACACACGCACAATAGCAACAAGCTTTCGAAAAGCCTTATCTTACCATTGATGCGGTTCCCAGGCTCCCCGTGGGCGAACTGGAAGCGGCCCAGGAAAAAGTGGCAAAGTAGCAGCACAACTCCCGCAGCAGCCGGGGCGGCCCCCGGGAGCCTCGCCATGCCGCCGCCGCCGCCGCCGCGACCTCCGCCTCCTCTTCCTCCCGCCGGTCCCCCGGCGCCGGGGCTCGGGCGGGCCGGGGCGATTGGAGCTCCGCGCCGCGGAGGGTCCCCGGGGCCCGGGGCGGCCTCGGTCAGTGTCGCTGGGATCTCACGCCCGGGAGCCGGGAGAGGCAGGGCGTGCCAGGGGCTCGGAGCGTAGTCCTCTCCGGACCTCGGGTTCCTCTCTTCGCAACTTGCCACGACCCTCCCAGCCCTCACCCCGGACAAAGACCGCCGCCGCGGGGAGGAGAGACCCCTGGCAGCCCGGCAGGGCCGGCAAACTCGGCTCCCGCCCCGGCAGCGCCTCCCGGTCGCCTCCCGAGCCCCGCGATGCGATGCGATGCGCCCCGCTGGGTTCACACAGATCCGGTTCCCCCGCCGGCGCGGTGCCTCCTCCAAAGCCCGGAGCGCAGCGGGATCCGAAGGAACTTTTCCCGGCCTCGGGTTGGCCACCGCGGGCAGGTTTGGGGTGTGCGGAAAGGGGGTGACTGTGTGGACCGGCGAAACCCCTCCGACAAGTTTTTCTTCTTCTTCTTCTCGGAGCCCCACGCCCGGCGCGCGTCCCTCCCGCCGCCGGAGGGATGGGCAGCCCGCGGAGCGGAGCCCGGGAGGCGCCGGCTGCAGCCTCTGAGATCCAAAGTCAGGGCGGAAAAAGAACAAACACACAGAACTGTTTTTTTGAAAAAGGGGGAAGAAGAACAAAGAGATGGGTAGAAGAATAAATCCGGCTGAAAGCTACGGAGAGGGGGCTCCTCCTGGCTCAGGAGGAGGCGGCCCCGGCCCCGCCGAAGCCGGAGTTGGGTGGCGGAGGAGACTCCCGGCCGCGCTCCCGGCGCCCCGGCTCCGGCTCCGAGCTTTGGGGCGGGGAGGCGGCGCGCAATGTGCCAGACCGGCCGCGGCGCCCTCCTCCCACGTCCCTCCCCCGCTCCTCCAGCCGCTCCACCTTCCTCCCCGAAACCCGTGGCTCAGCTCGCCCCAACCTGCCCAATGGCTGTGCTTCCCTCGGAGCTGGCAGGAGAGTCGCCGGGAGATTAAAATCCGGGGAGCGGTGCGAGGGGGAGTCAGAGGGGAACCCCGAGCGGCTCGCCCCCCGCAGCCGGCGGCCTTGGGCGCGGGGAGAGGCGGGGAGGATACGGAGCCGGGAGGGGAGGGGCGGGTGGCACCTCCGCGCAGCTGGGGAGCCATCCCCGCACCTGGCTGCCCTCCGGGCGGCTCTCGGGTCGCCTTGGAGCCAGACTGGGCGGGGAGGGGCGCGAGAATCGGGGGAGGGGGCAGACTGCGGGCGATCGTGGCCATGGAGAGGTTCTTTCTGGACGCCAAGGGGTTAATTAGAGTTCTCATGTCCCGGGAGGGCTTGCATGGCCGCGGATGGTGTGTGAGGGAAGCAAACCAGAGCGGGTATGCTTAGTGACCCCGCGAAGCCCCTTAGAACCCCGGACCCCCGAGGCGGGTGCAGGGAGGAGGCGCGGGGCAGCGCGGTCCGGCCGCCGCAGCTGCTTTGTAAAGTGTCAGCCACAGCGAAAGCGAGAGTTTAAAGAAACAGGAGACCCATTGACTGTCCTGCGGAGGCTGCTGCAACCGGCTTTGCTAGAGTGTGTGTGTGTGTGTGTGTGTGTGTGTGTGTGTGTGTGTGTGTGTGTTTTCCAGCTCGCGGATGTGCTTCAGCATTAACCCTTCGCACCCCTTTCATTAGTTTACACCTTATTTTGCAGTTAACATCATGTGAACGGGATAAATGCAAAGAAAGAAAGCAAAGAGCAGTGGTTAAAAGTACAGCTTCTATAGCCAGGCTGGGCTGGAATGCCACCTACCCCACTAAACAATTACATGACAGCAATTTCTTCAATCTCTTGGTACTTCAGTTCCCCAGCCATCAAATGGAGAGAAGTGTAATAACCCTCTTATAGGTGTTGTATTGGATTAAATGAGTTAATACTGCAGACTTAAAGAATCGAGATCAGTGCCAGGCTCAAGATACATGACAAAGGTTTGGGTTTAATTCTACTGAGGACACATACCTAGGTTACCAGTTGGATCCCAGTCAGGGGCTGGACCTGAAACGAGCAATTTATATTTCTCTCTCACATCGATGTTTCTGTCTCCCCTTATTCCTTTTAGAAAAAAAATTCAATAAAAACATATCCTCTGTTACGGATTTTTTTTTAAAGAGAGAAATAAATATCTGTTCATGTTTACCAATGTCACCTCCCCCCAAAAAAATAATTTAAAAAAAAAGAGCAAGAAAGAGAGGAGAGGAGAGAGTCCTAGATCAAAGGGATGTTTTGGTTCAGTGTTCTAAATGCAAAAGGTCTAGTAAGTCTCTTCTTGTCCACTCTGTTGCATGCTCTGAGGAGTTTATGGATGCCATCCCTAAGTACTTTGAATTTGTCACAATACTGGATCCCAATAAACAAACTACTCTGCTAATTTGGTGCCAAATGAATTACTCTCTCATGGTCACTTAGCTGGTGAGAGGGAAATCATGTTTTCTCCAAGTCAATATTCAATTTTCTTTCTCTCTCTCTCTCTCTCTCTCTCTCTCTCTCTCTCTCTATATATATATATATATATATATATATATATATATATATATATATAAAGATCCTTGCTTTCCCAGCAGATTCATTTCTTCCTTCTTAATATATGTAGGTAACCAAGAATATTTAACTTATATGAAACATTACATGTAAATTAGAGTACCTGGGACACTATTTAACATTAAGTTAGACAACTGAGTATTCTTATCAAAATTTGATTTTCATTTAATTGCTCTTGATTTTTTTTTTCCTGTCTGCATCCTTAGTAAGATTACTGTGAATGAATCTATGTGGAAACCTTCCTAAAATGGTACTTCGTGCAACTCCAATCCTCATTATATACAAAACCATGGAATCCTAGCAAAAGTCATTCACTTTCACAATAAAAAAAATGGGTGTCTCCTGTTTCTCGAGAAGAAACAAGTCCCCACCTCTCCCTGGTATCATAGTCTTTTTTCCTTTATTATTATTATTTATTATTATTATTATTGTTACAGGGTGCAAATTAGCAGTGTTTACTTTTCTTATCTGTTGTCATCAATGCTTTGCCCTCCTGATTGAAGCTACCAGTGTATCCCTTCAGTGGAAATGTGATGCCCAGAATTGAAAGAGAGCCCAGTAGTAATTCAGAGTGAGTCTGGAGAGGATTTTACCCATCTCCATCTCACTGGTGCTGCTCCATTATTTCATTTCACTCATATTTGAATCTGATGCTGAAGAGCTGACCTCAAAGAAAGTAAGTATAGATAGAAGATGAAGGTAATGAAAAGTCAGTCATGCAGGATGATTTAGTGCCCAGAACTAAGAAAGAAAAAAGGTATCATAATAAACTTAGACGGTGATGATTTGCCTTAAATGTCAACCAATAATTTTTTTTGTAAAAATGTATTTTTTCTTTACATTATAGCAAGCAACCAATAATTAAAATATATTTAAGATAATATGTTCAAAGTGAAATTGAGTTGATTACTGAAATAACCCTGGCTAAGGAAAAGAGGGTAAATCATTGTGGCCTAAATTACTTAAGTTTGCCATATATGTTTTACCACAGAATTATCTACTTCAATTTCATGGGGAGGAATTAGGATTTCTTTGTGGAAAAAAGTTTAATCTTATATCTTACTAAAGTCATCAGAACTAAATTGCTGTTTTTATTTTTCTTTGTTTTCTTCCTCCCCTCTTCCTCCCATCCCACATTGGTTTAATATTAGCTACCCTCTCAATGAACAAACAAATCAGAAGTCACAAAAGAGTGCTGTTATCCGTGGGGAGTTCTCTGTTTCTTCACCTGTTGCAGGAGAAATGGGCTTGTCATATCACAAGAAAAAAAAGGAGACTCACATGGGAGAATGAGATATTGCAAAAATCTATATTTCTGTGGAATTAAACCCCTGAGTTTCCAAGGTCCCATTTCTTTTTGTCCCACCAAGGAAAAAGTCCCGTTTCGTTTTCAGCAGGGTTAAGATCAAAGCCAGGGTCCGCAGTTGCCAGGCCCGATTGGGGGACAGTCCAATCCACCAGCAGGCTAGCTTAGTTTGTGTTCCCAGTTGCAGTCCATCAGTCCATTGCATGCAGGCTCCTCAGGGCCACGTGGCTATGGTGGGAATACAGACCAATACAAGAGAGCCACAGAAGAGCCAAGAGCGCCAAAAGAGAGAATTGCTGTGTCTGGGGGGTTTTGTATTCCCAAATTTTCATGACTTGCAGTGGTCCTCAGGCCAATGATTTCTGTTCTGAGGTTTGGCTGGCAGCACACCCAACTTCACTGCGCATGCGCCCATCTCCTCTTTGTCCAGGCCTTTCCCAGGTAATCTACAGGGAATAGAAGGTGGTTCCCTGGGAAGTGTAAAGTTGCAGCTTCCTGGTGAAGCTGCCCAAATGACCATCTTTATAATGCCTGGCCTTCTCTTTGCTTCATTCCAATTCCTAATAACTAGCTGATTACCATGGTATCAGTACCACTTTAGTTCTCTGTGCATGACAAAGATGTGGAATTCACAGAACATTCCCTCATTTAAAGATCTTAAGATAATATTTCAGAATCACTCTCAACATCGTAGAACTTTAGGCAGACAATAGCACCTGAACTAATGTCTGTACTTGTTTACAGCCCTTATCTGTACCAACTTTTGGAGAGGTTTTTAAACATTCTAAATGCAGTTTTACCTTTATGAAGGTAACTACAATTACCCATTTCATCCCACCTCCAACATTCACATTGAGTGTTTCCAAAGACCTGCCCTAAATTGTAACTTGGCTAACAGATACTCATTAGGCTCAATATTTTTACTTGTTATTAGTTTATTCAGATGTTCTTCTTTTGGAGCCAGATTTGACATTTTGTACTTTTCTTAGAATTTGTCTGTTTGTTACCTAATTTGTTGGCAAACTGTTGTTCATAATATTCTCTTAAGGTTGGTAGTA